CTGATTATGGTCTTTCTGGTAAGCAACCTCTTCATTTTTCAAAATTGGAGTCTCAGTTGATTTGGTTGATGGAGGGGAAGAATTTAAGAGGTGTTTTGTTCTTCAAGCTATGTCTAGTTTTTTAGCTCCTACTACTAATAGGACTATTTCATTAAAGTTGTTGAAAGCTGTTGAAAAAGTTGATGAAATTAAAACTTTCGATTGGTGTTCATATGCTTTGAAAAAGTTAAAGAAGGATGTTCAGAAGTATAAGGATGATGAAACTGCTCAAAATGTAAATGGTTGTTTGCTGGCTTTGCAAATTATGTATTTTCATCGTCAAAATTTTCAAGGTGAAAAGGAAAGTAGTACTCTTCCTTTGATTCAATATTAGACGGATGTAAAGATTAAGAAGCGGATTAAGTTAGAGATCAAAGCTGGTGGTTATGGGCAGGGACTGTTGGATACTTTTACATATCCTGTGTCACAGCTTAATTTTAGGGAAACTGTTTTTAAGCCAGCTCCTACTTTGGGTTATGATAAGGGTGCTTCTACAAGTGGTACCACTGGCCGCATTGTTGCATTTGAGCTTCCAGAAGGTATTATGACTGATGAAGAAATTAAAGAAATTTCAACTGATGTAAGTGTTCTGTTTTCTTATATGTTTAGTTATTATTGCTTTATGGCACAAAAGTTACCATTTTTGTGTATAAAAGTTACCCTTTTTTTGCACCAAAGTTACCCTTTATATGCATTAAAGTAATCCTAAATATTAAGTTAAAAGGTTTACTTCATTCGTATAAAAGGGTAACTTTTTGCATTTAAAAGGGTCACTTTATGCATTTAAAAGGGTCACTTTTAGCATATATTTTGAAGTTTTACTTATTTTATTATTTTTATTTGTAACATTTATTTTTTTTTCTTTTGTTCATATGTTTGTAGGTTGTTCATGAAATGTTTCTTTTGTTTAAAAGAAATATGGATGTTTTATTATTTGTTCAGTCAACTGGTTTTCAAACCTTAAATGATCTGATTACTTCTCGCAGAAGTGTTTCATTATCTTCTGATGATTCTGTTTTAGTTTCTCAAACTGAACAGCTACTCTCTAATCCTCATTATCTGAAGATTTTAGATGGTTTAATTGATGAGTGTAATAAAATGAAGTCTGTACATGATTTGTTTCGCGGTTTTTACGAACCTACAGAAGGTAACAAAGATGTTGTTCCTTAAAAAGAACCTGCACAAGGTTTCAATGAAAATATTCCGAAGGATGATGACAATGGTCATGGAAAAATAGTTAATGAAGGTCTTAATGGTTGTGGACCTTCTGCTATCATTCCTGGTCCTACTGAAAATATTCCGTCGGGCATATTGATCAAAATGAACCTGCTCGACATATCTTCAGAGCAAATAAATCTCTATGCTCTCTAGACTGTGGACCAGTAGGTGTGCAGGTACCTTTTGTAACTCTATTTTTGAAGAGCAATGCTCGGATTTTCAGGAATTTGCCTCAGTTACATTTGGAAATTCACGATTATTGTTTGCTGAAGGATGTTTCAATGAATAGGAAGTTAAGTGTCATTTTTTATGATAATTATTTTTTTATCTGTTTTTTTTCTTATATTTTATTTTTGTTTTTTTTAATGCTGAACTTATTTTTTATTGTTTAAGTGAGAGCCTTGTTACTTTTGGAATGAACTTTTTAATTCCAAGAGAAGACATGGTGTCCCTTGTTGCTCCACTCAGGATTCGATGGTGCATTATTGATTGCTACTGTATGTATTTGAATGAGAAAGCATGTTTTGAGGCTACTGGTCCTCAAAAATTCTTCTTTGGTGTCAGGCAGAGTGTAAGTTATTTCATTCTTTTTTTATATATTTTAACACATTTACTTTATATATATATATTATTGAGATCTTATACTTTAATAGTTTGCATTCTTGCATGTTTGTGACAATATTGGCAAAGGTAACATTTCTAGTGCTGTTAAGGATTTGCACGATCTATGGGAAGGTTGGGTTAGCTATGAGAATCCAGAATGTGATATAATGGATGCTGATCTGGTATATTTATGCTAAACTTAATGTAATAAATTTTAAAGAGTTCTGTTTATGATATGCTCTGTCTAAATCTCTTTTAACTTTGTTGTTTTAGATCTATTTTCCTATTCTTATTGAGAATCACTACATTTTGTATGTTATTGATCATACAAAAGAGTTGGTATATTATCTTGACAACGTTATCTGGAGTGATTCTGCTCTTGTTTATACAAAAGAATTATGTTCAAACATGGTATGTTTGTGTTTGTGTTTTTGTTATGTTTCTGTTGATTCATTGTTTCCATTTTAACTTTTTTGATTTTAATGTATTCTAAACTTTTATATTTTATGTCAGTGTGTTCAAATGGGTGCTTTTCTTGGCAAAAGAAATCATCCAAATAGTTCTCTTCTACCTTCTCATGGTTTTGAAGTTGTTGAGTTGGAATGGAGAAAAGAAAAAGTTGACAATTTGGACTGTGGGGTCTTTGTCATGTATCACATGCTCCATTTTGTTGGTGAATCGTTCAAATTAAATGAACTCAAAAAAGTAATTATCTATATAGTTTATGTAGTTTTTTCCTTTCTAATGCTTTTATTAATTACATATTGATAATTTTTTTTTCCTGTTGTGAGATTATTGGAAGGAAATTTTTACGAGGAGAGATCTGTACCACACTGGTGCTGTGTGATTTGAATGAATCTAGGAATGATGTGTTGTCAGAATTACCCAAGTTCAACGAGAAGAAGAAAGATCCTGCTTATGTCAATGTAGTTGAAGAAAGATTAAAGGATGCAATTGCTGAGAAGAAGAAGAGAGAAACAGAAGAAAGAAAAATGGCAGCAGAAGCAGCAGCAAAGGCAGAGGCAGAAGAGGAAAAGACCAAAGGAAAAAGGGCAAAAAAGCAGGCAAAAAAGTATACTCCTTCTAAATAGTGAAATAATTGATAGTTATTAGCTGATTAGGTTTATTTTTATGTTTTTTATGGGGTAACTTTTATGCAGAAAAGGGTAACTTTTATTTATAGAAAGGGTAACTTTAAAGCAAGAAAAAGGTAGATTTTATTTTTAGAAAGGGTAACTTTAGCTATGAAAAGGGTCACTTTTATGTAGAAAAAGGATCACTTCTATTCATGAAAAGGTTCACTTTTATGTAAATGGTTTAGTATGTGAAAAGGGTCACTTTTTGCTTAAAAAAGTTTCTTTTTTTTTGTTAATAGGGGTCACTCTTAATTTAAACGTTTAACTAAATAAAGATATGCTAATAATAGTGTCAATCACATATTCATTAAACTAGTCACATAGTAAAAAAAAATATATAGTTTTAGAATACAAATTACACTAAATTTTGAAAAAAAAAATGATCTAAAAAAGTTCCTAAAAGAGTCTCAAATTAGGTGTTTTAGATCCAAATTCTGAATGTGGAGGTGGCAGTGCTGATTTTCTTTTTCTCTTGCTTTTTGCAAGACCTCCTTTTTCTCTCTTGCTTCTTCCTTTTGTTACAACCCTTTGTGGATCAAGTAGTGTTGGTACACTTGTGCTTGTACTCGATGCTGAAGAAACATCATCATTGCTGTGATTGCTGTCTGCCACATCAGGAATATTAGAATCAGCTTCTGCACTCTCTCTCTGGGCAGCACTAGCAAGTAAGTCTTCCACCATTTTAAGACTGTTTCTGAAACTTTCTTCCATAAATTCTCTTGTTTCTTCATTTTCTCGACTCTTTAAGATTAGATTGTAGTACCTTATCATTGTTTGTCTCCATGGAATATATTGATGTGTAGGATCCTAATTCTTCAACCTATCTCATGCCTTTGTTTTTGCAAACTTAGTCCATCTTTTTTGGAACATACTTGTCTGGTATTCTTGTTACTGAATGCAAGTGTAGAATTCTGATGCAATGATAACATAACCATCCAGATGCTTCAAAATTTTTGCAAGTACACCATACATTCTGGCCATCATGTATATAGTTTACTTGATGTGCAGACCATGGCTTGTCTTCCAGGGCTACCTGATAAAGTAGACATTCTTCATTTCTTCCTATCATTTGAACAGTTATTGCCATAGAATATCCAAACTCCTCTTCAAAATCTCTAAAGAGTGACAAAGTGAAAACCTGTTCACCAAAATCATTCAGCTACATTTAAATTGCTATAATTTATGTGTAATTTATGTACTTATCAGTTAACTTTTTACCTGTGCAGCATGTTTTAGCATTCCAGACAGTGGCAATGAAGTGAATGCTATTGACTTGCTACAGGTAAACTCATCATATTTCTCTGTGCTTCTCCAACGATTGATTGTTTTTTTAAATATGGTATAAAATTCTATCAAGGTAGTTGCTTTACTTGCTCTGAATCCTATTGCATGATTAGTGCTTTGACTCCTTTATGACGATAAGAATCCTGCTGAAAAGAAATCTCTACTAAGGGCAGGAAACCATTTCTCTTTCAACTCGTACACTCTTTGGTACTAACAGTGTGCTGTCAACTCATATTTCTGCATCATTGCTTGCCATTTTGCTTCAAATTCTTGTTCTGTCACACACATCTTTAAACACTGGTTGAATGCATACTTGAATTCTTTGTATTTTTTAAGAGCTCCAAATCTGGTTATAGCATTTTGTTCCAAATGCCAGATACAAAGTCTATGCCTTGTATTAGGAAGCACCTACATTGAAAATAAAGGGGTCACTTTATGCTGTTAAAAGGGTCACTTTATGCTGTTTAAAGGGTAACTTTATGCAGTTAAAAGGGTAACTTTATGGGAAAAAGGAAAACGTTATTGTCAGAGTTTAAAATCTGTAAAATGTAAATATAAATCTTTTACCTGCTCAATTGCATTTGCCATTGCTTGGTCCTGATAAGTGAATATTGAAGTTGGTTTTTTATTCTCCATAGCTTTCAAGAATGTTTCTAGTAGCCACACGAATGAATCTATTTTTTCATCCCCAATAAAAGCACATGCAAACATACAATTATGCTAGTGATTATTTATTCCAAAAAATGGAGCACATATAAGATTATATCTGTTGGTTTTGTATGTTGTATCAAAGACAAGCACATCTCCATATATCCTATAGTCTTCTAGCATCATTGAATCTCTCCAAAAGATATTGGAAATTCTTCCTTCCTTGTCAAACTTCACTCTAAAAAAGAAGTTTGGATCCTTTGATTGTTCCTGATTTAAGATGTTCACTAAAGTTTGAGCATCTCCAGCCTCAATTTGTTCCATTCTTAACCTTGAGCAAAAATTCAGGTGATCTACAACACTATGACCTATATTATGTTCTCCTCCATCCTCTGTAGCCATGTAATTGTAAGTGTCCATTGTAGTTACATCTGAAGATTTCATTGTTTTAATTGCTTCAGCTTTTTCTTCTGTCAATTTTCTTTCAGAACGATGCAAATAATGCCACTGTGACCTTGTTAGCTCATGGTTATGCTGAATAACATGAGCCACTACCTCAAACTTTCCTTCTTTATTCACTTTTGCTCTTATGCATGCCTTGCAATTCGATCTTGTAATGGCTACTTGTCTTGGCTTTCTTGTTTTCACATTCACATCCTCTTCATTAACCATTTCAACTAACTTTGTTTTCTTGTAACCTGAATTTCTCTTTCCTTCAGCAGAACACACATAATTTTTCTCACTTACTATTTTTGTGTGTGTCTGGTATCTAGTTGTATATTTTCGTATTGAAAACTCCAGTATAGCAGCATGTTTTTCATACAATTCCAAAATTTCTTCAAAAGTTTCTCTTACCACACCAAAAAATGAACCTCTAAGATATAAACCAGAAGCATGGATTGGATTTGTATCTGTTATTTAATACAGATATATCAGATTATAATCAGAGGCAGCATGTCATTCAATTTATAGGAAACAAAATGGTAACATTTGTTCGAAAATAGGGTCACTTTTATGCATGAAAAGGGTAACATTAAGGCATACAAAGGGTTACTTTTTGCATACAATCTGAATTTTCTGCATACAATCTTAGGGTAACATTTGTGCATAAATAGGTTTACTTTTATGCATGAAAAGGGTAACTTTAAGGCATACAAAGGGTTACTTTTCTGCATACAATCTTAGGGTAACATTTGTGCATAAATAGGGTCACTTTTATGCATGAAAAGGGTAACTTTAAGGCATACAAAGGGTTACTTTTTGCATACAATCTGAAATGTTTATAGAAATTACCTTCAGTTGCATTTGATTTGGCTGTTTTTCTGAATTTGAATCAATTGATTTGCCATGAACCACTTGATTTTATGCATTCTCAATTGCTTCTTATGCATTCTCAATTACTTCTTCTGCATCGTTAATTACTTCTTCTGCATCGTCTACATTGTTTGGATTGTTGAATATTGGTACGAATTCATCTCCAAAACTCTTAGTTTCTTCTTCTTCTTCTTCTTCTATAATCGATCGATTTAAATCGATTTCAAATGCAGTTTCAATTTGCCTCTATTTTTGCTACAATTTGTGGTATCGAAAGTCGAATTTTCCATTGACGATCGAATTCTCCAATTTTTGCGTTTTCTCACTTTCTCTCTTCTCAACTGATGATCGAATTCCGCAATTTGTAAGTTTTCTCACTTTCTCTACCTTAATTGATGATCGAAATTTTTAATTTGTGCGTTTTTTCACCTTTTTTCTTCTTAATTGATGATCGATTTTTACAATTTTTGCGTTTTCTCACTTTCTCTCTCCTCAGCTGATGATCAAGGGCTGCGTTTTCTCACTTTCTCTTTCCTCCATTGTTGTTCTGCGTTTTTTTTTTTATTTTTTTTATTTTGAGGTATTAAATTTCGCGATTTTACATTTTTTTTTTTAAAAAAAAAAACCTTGTAAATGAGTGTCACCTGCAAACAGTCCGATGTACAGTAAAAATATTGTACACCGGGTGCATGCAAAATGGATTGTTTAAGATTTTGAATCAAATGTTGAATTATTCATCATAAATTTTTCTCCTTAATATTGAAAAAATTCGTGCTTGTTACAAGACCTAAATTAGTTATCACATGATTTTTTTTACCACACCGTGTGGCCTGCTGCCAAGTCAGTAAAAATAACGGATTACGCGCACATAACGGGGTTACTATTCACTCACATAACAGGGTTACAGGTTTTGTCAGGGTTACTTGTATTTTTTTTTCATCCTCACGCAACCATAGCCTTCTTCCTCCACGTACATGCATGATCCAGACGAACTGACGAAACCTACTTGTATTTTTTTTTTCATGACTTATATTTTTTTTTCAGGGGTTACTTGTATTTTTTTTTCCAGGAGTTTCTTGTATGGATTACTTATTCACGGGTTACTTGTATTTTTTTCAGGGTTTACTTGTATATTTTTTTCAGGGTTTACTTGTATGGATTACTTATTCAGGGGTTACTTGTATTTTTTTTTCAAGTGTTACTTGTATTTTTTTTCAAGGGTTACTTGTATGTTTTTTTCAAGATTTACTTGTATTTTTTTAGGGGTTACTTGTATTATTTTTTTTCAGGGGTTACTTGTATTTTTTTTTTCAAGAGTTACTTGTATTTTTTTTCAGGGGTTTACTTGCATTTTTTTTTCAAGATTTACTTGTATATTTTTTTTCAGGGTTACATGTATTATTTTTTTCAGGGGTTACTTGTATGGGTTAATTCAAGGGTTACTTATATGAGTTACTTATTCAAGGGTTACTTGTATGAGTTACTTATTTAGGGGTTACTTATATGAGTTAATTTAAAGGTTACTTGTATGAATTACTTATTCAAGGGTTACTTGTTACTTATTCAACGGTTGCTTGTAAGCCCAATACCAAACCAGTAACACCCTAGAAGTAACCCTTGAGCAAAACTAGTAACACCCTACAAGTAATCCTTAACCAAACCAGTAACACCCTATAAGTAACCCTTGAGCAAAACTAGTAACACCCTACAAGTAACCCTTTACAAAACCAGTAACACCTTACAAGTAACCCTTGACAAAAGCAATAGCACCCTACAAGTAATCCCTGACCAAACCAGCAACACCCTGACCAAACCAGTAACACCCTACATGTAACACCTGATCGAACCAGTAATACCTACAAGTACCCCTTACCAAACTAGTAACACCCTAAAATTTTTGACGTAGAATGTTCGATCTAAGATTTCACAAAGAAAACGAGCTCACATTTCTTTGGTTCTCAACGATTTCACTACTTCAAATGTTCACTAGTGGAAAAAAGGCCATCCGTAACAGGCAAAAAGGGCCCATCCGTAACGGGCAGCGTCCATTACGTATACGGCCGTTACGGATGGCCATTATTATTCTTAACGGGCACTGTTCGTTACGAATAACTACTTATTCGTAACGGGCACTTACAATGCCCGTTACGAATAAGTAGTTATTCGTAACGGGCGTTTCAGGGTACGAATAACCCATTATTCGTAACGGACATTTTAAGTGTCCGTTACGAATAACCCATTATTCGTAACGGACATTTTAAGTGTCCGTTACGAATAACCCATTAATCGTAACGGGCACTTGAAACGTTCGTTACAAATAACTACTTATTTGTAACGGACATTGTAATTGCCCGTTACGAATAACTACTTATTCGTAAAAGGCAATTACAATGTCCGTTACGAATAATCTCCAAATAAGACAAAAAATTAGGGGCATTTGTAACTAGCATTTCAGGTGCTAGTTACAAATGCCCCTATTCTTCTTTCAATTTACCACCCAAATTATTATAATAATTTATAACAAATCCAAATATTTCATGCCACAAACATATTATCAAACATAACATATACACCAAATTGGATTTCAGATAAAATTCTTCTTGATTGAACTAACAGACATAGCTACATAGATTAAAGGAAAATTTCAGAAAAAAAAAAAGTTAGAGCCTCATAGTAATAAATCTTCTGGTACATGATGTCTCAGACATTTCTCTATCTCTATCCTCAACATTAAAAGGATTAAAACTGCCATTCTTGATTTCTTCATCACCAATGTCTCTGTCTTCAGCAGCATCAATAGAACTTTCTTGCCTCCTAAAACGTAACAAAAAAAAAAAATCATAGATTAGCAAATTAAGAACCCTAACCCAAACACTAAGTCAGCCACTAAAACACAAACACAAGACAAGAAATCAATTTGAAAGATTTGCAAAGTCTTAGAGAACCCAATGCCCAGAAAAATTAATAAAATTGAGGGACTAACACAAGGAGCCAGCCATACAAGTATCACACTTGCATGGGCCACATCAGACATTATCAGCGAAAGTAAAATTTGATTCAATCAATCTATAATTTCAGTTGATATGTAGCAGGACAGAGCAGAAAAGGTTCAATCAATCTATAATTTCAGTTAATATGTAGCAGCACAGAGCAGAAAAGGCAGTATAATGCACTAGAAATGCTGAACTTCAAAGATTGACCTGACATGTAACAATGACTGTCAAGTACCTGAACTTCAAGAAAGGTATGATCCCACCACCAAATTCATTAGCAACATAAACAGGTACAACTTCTCTCCATCCAAAAGCTTGGATAAGGTCACTGATGGGTTGTACTTGGCAGGAATTATCCTGTGTTGCTCGAATGAAATACGGGTTTCGCATGGGAGAAAGTGAAGGGCTTGTAGCAGAGTAGGAAACAATTGGAACTCGAGATTTCTCCCCAAGATTGACAACAAATTGAGCCTCAGAGATGTTTCTGGACCTATGATTGCAACCACTTGATCATTTTTCAGTGAATCCAAAACTGCATTCTCAATACAGGACTATTGGTATCAAAATTTAAGCTTTAACATCTAAACAATGGCGAATGTTACTTGTAAGTTCATTCATTCATTCCTTGTTAGCTATGATAGGAATCACATACTTCGTATGATACATACTAGTCATGAATGATACACCGTCATGTATCACTAAGTTATGTATTTGTATTCAAAGAAAAATTACAAGTAGAATAAACTTGCTTTATTGATAGTGCGTGTAATAGACTAATAGATGAGATTAAGCGCCTATACCTGTACAACAAGAGTTAAAATTCGTGACAATTTCTTTAATATGTATTAATTCTCTAATTGAAGTTGCAAATCACCTTAACTATTAAGATAGATATTGTACTGTAAGACTACACAACGTCAAACTTGAATGAATTTTGTTTGTTAACTTGAATTAATTTTGTTTGTTTCGTCAACAAAATTAGACAAAATGGCATAAAATTCTAGCTTTGATATATGGTTCAACACTCATTCAAGACTTTTCTTCAAGTCAATTCCTAAGGTACTGCGAACGTATGTTAAATGTATCTACACATCAATACAACCACAACTCTTAGCATGCAATGCGTGATTGCGAAAATATCGAATTAAACACACCCTTTTGGCATTATACACCTCGTCAATTCATACTATATGATACTCTATCACACATTATTGGAAGTTAGCAATTATAATATGGTCAACTCTTTCATTTAAAAAAAATAAATAAAAATAAAGTTATTTTAGATTTTAACACCTCACAAAAACGCGAAAATTGATTTTAACACCCCCGTAAAAGAAAAATAGATTTTAACACCAGATAAATTTCCAAAAAATTGGTATTACCACCACTTAACGGTTTCCATCCGAAAATTCCGTTAAGTGTGGTCCACAATAACACGTGTCAGCATTTTATTTGTTACAAAAAAAGAGGAATTAAAAAAATAAAAACCAAATCTACCCAGCCACCCCCACAGCACCACCCCCGCCTTCCCCCAACTCACCACAGCCCTCCCCGAAACCACCACTCGTGTCGCACCACCACGCCCAACCCCACCTGAACCCTCCCCCTCCCTTTCCCGCAACCGTAACGCCCCCAAAACCACCAAACCCAAAACCCTCGTCCCCCCTAAACGGCCACGAATCCGGCCTTAAAAGGTCGAAATCGGCCGGTTTTGGGGATTAGTGGCCTTAACCGGCCGATTTCGGCCTTTTAAGCCGGATTCGTGGCCTTTTTGGGGGGACGAGGGTTTTGGGTTTGGTGGTTTTGGGGGCGTTACGGTTGCGGGAAAGGGAGGGGGAGGGTTCACGTGGGTTGGGGGTGGTGGTGCGACTTCAAGGAGGGCTGTGGTGAGTTGGGGGGAAGGCGGCGGTGGCGCGGGGGTGGTGCTATGGTGGTGGCTAGGTAGTTTTAGGTTTTTATTTTTTTTCTTTTTTTTTCTTTTTTTGGCCAATAATAACATGACACGTGGCTTATAGACCCACTTAATGATTTCCTAAACTGAATCAGTTAAGTGGTGGTAATACCAAATTTGTAGAAATTTATCTGGTGTTAAAATCCATTTTTTTTATGGAGGTGTTAAAATCAATTTTTGTGTTTTTGTGAGGTGTTAAAATCTAAAATTTCATAAAAATAATAAATGGAAGATCGAGTCAACTCTATTAAACATTGTTAGATAGATTGTTCCTCCTCCATCCATTATTGAATGTTAAACTATTGAAACAAGGAGATAATTATAGAAAGATTAATGGAAAAATATAAAGAAATTGATGTATAACCTAACGACAGTATGTAATAAACTTTTAATTTTGCTATACAATCTTAAGTTAAAATTGCAGGTACTTCTATAATATACAGGATTACTAATAGCAATTCAACCTTACAAATAAACTACAATAATTCTCAAACAGCAAACTCACAAAATCAAACAAGTGCAGATAATTTAAAATTAAAATACGCAATTAAAATCGAAATTCATTTGCAACACTATTACTTCCTCCAAATCAACGTGCAAACAGAAAACAACATCAAACACAGAAAACAAAATTCAATTATGAAATTCATAAAAATGGAAATTTAAACGCAAACAAGATCTAAAATCATAGCAGAAAATGCAGAATCAGTATAAAAGAGAAAACACATACAAAGATCCACGATTGTAGAGGTCGATAGAAACGGAGATACATTCGACGCCATTGCTAAGCTTTGTAAGGGTAGCCTTCTTGTGAGCTACAATAAAAGCTGATTCCAAATCCCCCATTACTGAGATTGAAAATGAAACAAGAATCATAGCGAAAATTACAAACCCTAATTGATTGTTTGAAGCCGCCATTGTTGAATTCTCTGAAGTTGTAGATTGAGAATTGAAAGGGGAGAATTTTCAAAATGTGAAGAACGAAAGAGAAGCGGAAAAATTCCCAAAACTAAGTCATTTCAATCGATTTTCCAAGATATAAAAATAAATTCCCAAAAATAATTTTAAAAATCCAAAAAAGAATCATAGCACTTAAAAAAAGGGTAACAAGTAACAAAAAAATTAAAAGAAATAAGATCCTTGTAAGCGGTGGATTCCAAAGATCTAACAATTGATTTCTCCGTCGCCGTTAGTGCCTTCTTCTTCGCCTCTTAATAACTTCCTCCTCTTGGTTTTCAACAATAAACTAACAAAAATCATTTAAATAAAAATCAGATTAAAATCTAATTATAAAACCCAAAAATTCTACCAATTTGAATCTAATTGCTACAGATCTAGTAGCAAAAACAAAACATAAATTTTTAAAAAAAACGTATAATCAAGGGGAAAGAGAATATGGAGGTAAGGAGAGGTGGTAAAGAGAGTTAAAGAGAATGAATCCTGAGGAAAGAGAAAGACAGTGTGTTCTAGAGAGGAGAGAGAAGGAGAGAGAAGGAGAGTGAGTGAGTGAGTGAAAGAGAAAGTTAGAGAATGATTTCTGAGGAGAGAGAAAGAGAGTGAGCGAAAGAGAGGGGAGTGACGGCTGAGGAGAAGTGTGAAACCCTAAGTAACTAATGGGCTCATCTCATCAGCTGGACGCCTAGACCAATCATTCGCAACGGGCCCATGATGTCCGTTATAAATAGTGTACTATTCGTAATGTGCGGTATTTTGCCCGTTACAAATAATATAGTATTCGTAACGGATACTATTTTGCCCGTTACGAATAAATAAGTATTCGTAACGGACACTATTTTGCCCGTTACGAATATCTTAATTGTAACGGGTAAAGCTTTGCTCATTACAAATAGCCTGTTACGAATGAGATTTTTTCCACTAGTGGTTGTTGATGATCTTAAGGATAATTAATCACAATTTTTCACAGCAATTTAACACCCAATTTCTAAAATTTCAGGCTTTTAGTGCAACAATTTGGCAAAGACGAAAGAGAAAATAGGTGGAGTAGAGATATGGATGTTGGTGATGTGTGATTTGGCTTGAAGAAGAAGCTAAGAAAAGAGGAGACAGAAAATGGGTAGAATAGAAATATGGTTGTTGGTGATGAGCGATTTGACTTGGAGAAGAAGGTAAGAAAAGTAGAGAGAAAAGTTGTGGTATTTTTTTAAAAAATAAAAAATAAAAATTGTGGCTGGCCACACCGTGCGGCCAGCGACATACAAAAATTTGTGATATTGAAAATATTCGTGCGTGTTACAAGACCTAAATTAGTTATCACATGATTTTTTTTATTTAATTTAAGGGATGTGTAGACATCCATTTGTGTCTCCCCAAAACCAAACCCAGTGATGAGTACCTTTCACGTCAAATCATAATCGAATGAAGTGAAAGTGTGGAAAGTCTAGTGTTACGGTTAGTTTTTATTTCTTTTCTTTCTCTCTGTTTTTGAAAACCTATTTTAAGAAAACAACCAATCAAGTTTGGTTTGGTCCATGGAAAGGGTCCAATAATGGTGTAGTTGGGTCAGGTTCGAAAAGAGTTTTCCAACGATATATTATAAGCCCAATTTCGATGAATAATGAGGAAGTTATGGCCAAATTACTAAACTGGGCCCAGTTTTATCTTTATATGCGGCCCAATGATCTAGAGGAGGGCCTATTATTGATTTATCAATCCTAATGTGATTAGGATTGTTATAGTATTCTAGAATCTTCTAGAATGTTCTTTTGAATCCTAATTTAATTAGCATTGATAAAATGACTTTAGTTGACTTTTGAGAGTTTTATTTAGAATAAAAGAAGTGTTTTTAAGGAAAATACATTTTTACCCTCTTGTACGCTTAAATTTTATCAAAATAAGAAAACGCGTGGAAAATTAATTGCAGCTCCATACGACAGCCCTGTCGCCTGGCAACAGACCTGGCGTCTGGCGACAGCCCTATCGTTTGGCAACAGGCGCGTGTTTGGCGCTACAGTTGTGTTTTATTCTTTTTGAAACTCTGATTCTTTTTTATCATATCCAGCTAATTTTCTCCATAAATAGCCTCCTAAAACCTCCGTTTTCAATTATCAATTCTCAATTCTTATCAATTCTCAATTCTTCTCTCCAACTCTCATCAAGAAATTCTTGATTACTCTCTTCTCTCTCTCTCTTTTATAAACTAGCTTTTCTCATACAAAATTCCGCATTCGCAAGATCAAGACACACCTAGCATTGTTCGAAGTTGCCTTCGCCTTAGACATGAAAGAAAGAGATACGAGGCATCCAAGTAAGTGCTTTAATTGATTTATTGATATTATGATATAGAAATCATGTCTAGGTTGTTATTATGATTCCTAATGTAATGATAGGGTGTTTTTATCTTCCTAGTATCATGTTTAGGGAAAAGGTTATGATATCAAATATGACAATTGTGATTTCTGCAATGCTTCCTACTTTCTTTCCTAATATCATGTTAGTGTTATTTTAGGGCTAAATATTTTATTTTTATTGTTTAGTGACATGATAGAGTTTGTTATTAATCTTGTTAGTATCATACCGAGGATCTTGCTATTATTATCCTTTAATATGATTATTATTTTTATGATTATTGAAATGATTATTATTGTGATAATTTATTATGGTTGTTATGTTGCTTGATATTATATTGTTATTGCTTGATCACACCTTTTACGCATGTTTAAAGGGAATTGGTACTTGTAATCACGCTTAATAAGATAATTAATAATCTTGTGTAGGGTTAATTTGATTATAATTAAAGTGATCGCCAATAATAGAGTTATTTGTGCATTAATATTTAACTTACATAGATTAAACAAGTTTAGGGTTACTCCTATTGATTGCATGTTAGACAGAAAACACACATGAATACGAGAAGAATAAAGTAGAGGCATATTATTAGGGCAGGTTCATTCTCTTTTAGGTTGGATTTGTACCTTCATCCCCGAACTTCCAGTCACGGTTCCAGACCTATTGGAGTTAATGATCTCCTTGCTCATTTAGGAGTGTAACCTTCACCCTGTGAACGGTTCACAAGTTCCTAAAACTTGTTGGAGACTCTTTTGCTCTAGCATCCTTCCCTTTGGACGCCACCATGCTTAAGTGTATGATCACAGTGGGGTTCAAGTTTAGGGTAATACTTGAATATTCCCTACAGTTTTTTGGCTACTCCACTGGGGAGGATTTCTATTTTAATTCCTAAAATTTATTTTGGCAATGATTTAGAATGAGTGGATGAGACTCGAAAAGTTCTAAGTATTTCATGTGCGTAATTTTGATTAACATTATTGTCATATGCATAAAAAAGATCTCATTGGAAAGACCATCCGTAATGAGTTAAAAACATAGGATTTTTACACGTAGGAAATTTGAGGAATATCTTTCACAACTAGGATAGAAATAATGCTACGAAATTGGAAAATTTTATCGAGCACAGAAAGTTGCTGAGGCATGTAGGAACTGGCGTCCGAAAAAAGAGTCTGTCGCCAACGATATGACTCTGTCGCGAGGCAACGTTTCTGTTTCCAGGAGAGAGAACCATATTGCGGCGACGACCTTTGTTAGCTGGCACCAAGTTCTTCCAATACCGAGCCAGAATTATGAATTCTAATTTTGACCAGTTTTTAGCACTGTTTGCTCAACTCTACTTCCTGATTGAGTTTTTCTCACTATTCTGAAACCCACATGTGTTCTACATATGGAAATAACCCTTTGGGAATTCATGCTCCATCTACCTGATTGAACGCTCTTTGCAACAAAGGGTACATCCGAGAATGTTGAATTCACCAAACCATGGAAGCGAGTTTTTTAACTTGCGGTTTCCCATCCAATCGCGCCAACCCTTCAAAAGGTATGGCTTCCGTGCGGTGCATCCGGACAAGTAACCATAGACCCTCTTTGACTAACATATATCCTGAACTTTAGAGAACTAGAGCCATGGTTATGTTGCAAACTCATTGCATCATATTATGCCTACTTGGCTAATTGTGCATTATTTGTTGTGCATACTCTATGTGTTTTTTTTCCCTAACCGTTTGTTTGACTTGTGTTTAAGTCTAAATACACTAATTAATGACTAAAAGGACTTTATCTAATTAATTAATTAATTTATTTATTTGAGTAATTAAAGCCTAATAATTTAATCGGAATTGACTTAGTACGACTTCAGGCATGACCCGTAGAGTTAAAAATACTTAAAGCAGTCTATAAGGAATATTTCAAGCATTATCCCTAGCTTGAACCCCACTGTGATCATACAGTAAAGTACGGTGGTGTCCAAAGGGAAAGAAGATAGAGCAAAAGAGTCGCCAACAAGTTTTAGGAACTTGTAAACCGTTCACAGGGTGAAGGTTACACCCCTTAATAATCCAGGAGATCGTCAACTCCAATAGGTCTAGAACCATGACTGGTAGTTCGGGGATGAAGGTACAAATCCAACCTAGAAGAGATTGAACCTTCCCTAATAATAGGCCTATACTTTATTCTGATCGTATTCATGTGCGCTTTCTGACTAACATACAATCAATAGGTTTAACCCTAAACCTGTTTAATATATGTTGGTTGAATATTAATGCACAAATAAATCTATTATTGGCGATCACTTAAATTATAATCAAATTAACCCTAAACAAGATTATTAATTATCTTATTAAGCGTGATTACAAGTACCAATTCCCTTTAAACATGCATAAAAGGCGTGATCAAACAATAACAATAAATATAATCAAGCAACAAAATAACAAATCATAAATAATAATTGTAATCATAATCATATTCATGTTATTATTAAAGCATAATAATAGCAAGATCCAAGGCATGATACTAACAAGATTAATAACAAACCCTAGCATGTCACTAAACAATAAAAATCAAATATTTAGCCCTAACATGATACTAACATGAATAAATATTAGGGAGAACATAAAAGGCATCATACTTCTAATCATACTTGATATTAAAGTTACCCTAGACATTATACTAGGAATTTATTGTTGTCACCCTAAACATCAAATTAAGGAAAACATCCTAACATGATACTAGGAATCATAATAACAACCTAAGCCTGATTTCTACATCATAATAACAATAAAAACCATTAAAGTACTTAATTGGATGCCTCGTACCTCTTTCTAATAACAAAATACACACGTTAGTAACTTCAAGGAAAATAATAATCAACAATTAAATTAAATAATTAAAAGAGAGATTTGGGACCAAACCCTCAGAAATTAAAACCTTTCAAGTCTAGGGTGAAGGCAACTTCAAATTATGCTAGGTGTATATAACTCTTGTGAATGCGGAATTTTGTAAAAAGAGAGTAAGTTTAGAAAAGAGAGAGAGAGAAACACTAGAGAGAATAAGAATTAGAGAACTAGAGAGAATAAGAATTGTCGATTGTAGATGAATAAAAACGGAGTTTTTAGGAGGCTATTTATAGAGAAAATCAGCCAAAAAGATAGAAAATCGAACCAGAGTTCTGACGTGAAAAAACAGAGTTAGCGCCAAACGCTGACATTAGCGCTAGACACTAATGCTAGCGCCAGGCGCCAGGCGCTAATGACTGGCGTTTGGCGCTAATCCATTTTT